ACTATAAGAGCTTATTTATATTCTGTTTAACTCTGTCGCATCAATTCCAAATGTATCTTAATTATGCGGGTAACTTTTTCAGGGGGCTTTTGTTTTCAAAGGTTGTTGTGTATATTTCAGTACGTGCACGCTTCAGTTAAGATATAGTTTCGAACTAACTGATGATCTTTACAATTGATCCATTATTTAGCAAGTATGCTATATAAAGGCAGGAGCTTGAACTGATGCATAAGTAAGATTACCTAAGTATGTAGTTTCCTGTTGGATTCGCTGGCAGTTTATTTATTTCCTTATCGAGGGCATAGAGAGAGATGTGACCCTTCCCTTCTGCGATCTGAAGTGGGTCGGGTAATGAACATCTCTGCAGCAATGGCATCCAGATGCTTGCCCCTCTCTTGGGAATAAGAGTTCACGAATTAAAAAGTGAAATGTGAATCTCGCTGCTTGTTTCTTCGTTGTTGAATACACGATCAATTGGATGCAGTGATGTTCACTTTATGATAATAGCACGTGATTTGGCAGCAAGTTCTTAATGTGTTCTCCCAGTTACACATCATCATCAGCCATGATCTATCCAAGTTATCACCATCCCCTCACGCGATGCAACGATCTGTCTTTCCTGCACATGGTCTGATCCCATTGCTCCATCTCCTAGGTGGAGAGGCATATTCCGTCTGTTGGCTCCCACTCCATCATTCGTCTCGACCACTTGCGAATCATTCCTTCTATTGTTCTGCACAAATCTTCCGTGCGCGTATTTGTCAGAGATCAGATCCACGGACGCAGATGCACGAAACACACACTGCGTCAAATTGTGTTAACTGTCGGCGTGCGATGTTTGATTACTGTCATTGGTTGTTTTAAATGTAGAAAAATATGGCAAACCATTTATCAATAACCATTAGCCAGTTTAACCTTCTTCTTTGGTTCTTTCGGTAAAGTCACGTAGAATGAGAATAAAATAATAAATTTCTAAAATAAAATAACACAACAATATTCTCACGACGTTTCGGCCACAACACAAGCGGCCTTCATCAGGTGTTGTGGCCGAAACGTCGTGAGAATATTATTGCATTATTTAATTTTATCAATTTATTATTTTATTCTCATTCTACGTGACTTTACCGAAAGAACCAAAGAAGATGAATCCTTGCAGTCACGAAAGCTTTAAATCAGTTTAACCTTTCTGAGTCTTAAAAGAAAATGTTTTCAACTGGGCCCTGCATGAGGACATTTGATCTGTGTTATTTCTGAGGGGGGTTTTTTTTCCGTGGGAGGAAGCTGAGTGCACAAAGAAACTACGCTTTGGAGAAAAAAAAAACCCCAAATCAAATTCGCCATTGATGTGTCACAAATTGACCTGTAGGGTAGCGCTGTTGGGCATAATGCACCCTGGATTACCAGTAAATGTATGCTGGTTGCTTGATCGGTTGACTAGTTTATGACAACAACAGAAATAGTGGGGAGGACCAAGGATAGCAGAGTAATTAATTTTTGTCTTCCCATTTTTTTTAAGTGGGTGTAAAATGTATGTTTTCACTATAGATCAGTAGTGAGGCAAGGTCATTGGCTTAAAGTGGTGCACTCTCGTAACAAATAGCAGCACATCAATAATTCGCTTCTCTTGGAGCTATCTGTGCTATTTCCCCGCCGTCTCTTGAGAGGGATATGCTGGCGGACGTGCGCGCGCGTTTCCGCATTTGCGTTTGTGTCGCGCCGCATGTGTCCGTGTATCGCTGCAACAATATATATGATAAATAGAACATTGTGCGTCGCTGTGTCAACAACTTTTCTGTGATAAAGTCGGCAGAAGAAAAATAAAATTGGAATCCAAATAATGCTGAGGAAGAATAAAAACCCATCAGTTTCCTGATGAAATGCTGTCAGCTTATGGATAACTTAATTTATTTCCACTTAGCATCATGATCTCTAATAGCCTGTACTGTATCCATTCATCATTTATGTGCCAAGCATTGGCATGTAGCAGTTTTAATTCAGAGGAAGCCATTCCTTGCACATGTGAGCATATATTCGTGGGGGTTTGGGATTCAGTCTCATAGATCCTGATTTAATCGAGCATTTTCAGGTAATTCTGCAATTTTGTCGATGTCCCCACACTGGCGAAGGGTGCAATTTTCTTGAAATGATGTTGCAACCAATAATTTTGTCTGTGCTACATTTAACACACAGATTGCAACACTTAACGTCTACCATAAATTTACTTGTGGGTCTGCAACAAATTATTTTGTCCACATGCAACACGTTCTCCGATTAGGCTGGATGGGGTCACATGCTCATCGTAGCAACCTCCATTATTGCTGTCTTTTCACGGGTATAACGGCTGTGAACAGTTTGAAAAACAAATCTTATTAGAAAATTACATGTGCACTGTAGTTATTGTCCTAATTTTCTTATTTTTACCTAATTTACATCCCTTCAATACCGTGATATTGAAAACGTATTTTTCAGGCTATGCAAGATAATGTTCTTCTTGCCTACATTTCCTGCTGGGCACCTTGACATGGGGAATCATTGAGTGTAATGGCTCATTAGTGTGCAACTGTGTTGCAAAACGCACCTAAAAAAGTGGCAGTGTTAAGGATGGGATGCTGCATAACAATTGAAGAATTCATGAAAGTTACATGGGGAGAAAATTGCATCGTTTTGCTTCCACTTTACTCTTGCAAACAATGTTGCCTAACAGTTCGCATTGACATGCATAAATAGGCGATTCTGGATTTTTTTTATATTGGTCAGACAGCGGCTTCAGTTGAATGTGGGCCAGTTAAACCCCCCATGGGCTAACCTGTATTATAGTTACCATCCTTATGCATCGTTAAAAATGAAGGTGTGACAGCTACCAGGGCCTAGTCAGCAGTCCCTTTGGGCCTGAGAAGTACAGCCACCTCGTCTGAGCCTTAATTGAGTTGCTGTGCAGATAAAACGGCTGTTCAATTGGTAATGCTTGGACCTCTAAAGATGTAATTCCACAATATGTTTGGGACTGCATTGGAATTTGACATTGGAATTTTTAATTACATAATCTAACGTTCATGGCAGTTTCATTTTTGACCAGAATATTTTCATCCTTTTGTAATGGTGAACATTCTTGATTTGAAGCTTTCGTGACTGCAGGAATCCATATTCTTTGGTTCTTTCGGTGAAGTCACATAGGTATAAAATAAAATAAATCACAATTATGAACATGTCTGTATTTTTCAATACTAGTTTTTTTTTTTTTACAAAATAACATAATTCAAAGATGAGTGCATTTTGGCTGCTATACTGATTTATTTCATAGGTTTCTGCCAGAATCTATAGTAGTGGTTTTCTTTAACATTTGTTTCAGCTCGCTTAGTAATATCCAATATCGTCCGGGGCAATGCAGGTATGCATCATGCAATTGTGTTGGTCTTCTCAATTCTATTGCTCGTAACCCCAAGTGCAACCAGCCTCTGCCAATCCAGCTTCTGCTTCTGACAAATTATTGTATTTCGTATGGAGCATCATTTGTCCTGTGCATAATGTGAATCCACAGTACTCTGCACGTATCTCTTCATTGTTAAACATGGAATGCTGGTCAGCGGTGTGATGTCTTGTTGATGTCAGAGATGCAGTCTACTTGTATTAATCTCAAATGGTTTAGAATTATATTACAGTGAATGCACTTGGTATGATATGTGAGTGGGGAGGTGTTACTGTTTTCAGCACCCTTGCCTCCAGGTTTGGTGTTTGCTTCGTTTTGAAGCCAGCTCCAGCCTCCTGCGGGACTATTATCAAACAAGCCTGTCATCTGATAATTTGTATACATAAAATACACTTTTGACAGCAAATACACTTTGAGAGTGACAGCACTGAGCATGATTGTGCACACCCGCAATCCGGCTTGGTTTATCTCTTGGATATCATCGCGTGTGTGACACCCACTTACAGGGCTGCCATGCAGCCTGTGGTGTACAGGATGTACAGCAAATGAGCCACTTGCCTGTCATTAAAGCGGTTTGAAAGTTATGCCCACGTATTAGTGGGCCATTCTAGACTCATGGTGTCCTTCCCCACAGTACAAAAAATATATATTTAAAAAATACTTTTAATTTATCCCACACTCACTTAAAATGTGATGACTTGATGTGCATATAAATAATAATTGCTATTAGCCATAGTGATATTGAATAAGGTTTTTTATTATGATGATGATGATAGTTATAGTTGACTGGTAATGTCATTACCGATGCATCAGTTTATCAAAATGAATTATCACACTAACTGTGCACGTATCAAATTGTGCATATGATAAGGGATTATTTACGATTCATGCAAATTTTGTGCATGACATATACCAATGTCATATTTGCATAATGCAGCGGAAAGAGTTATACACATGAGAGAGGAGTAAAAAGGCAAAAAAAATATCTAATTTTGAAGCAATTCATAACTATTAATTGTTTCACTGTGGGGAGAGTAAATTTTGACATGCCAAGTTAAATATGGCCAATTGGTCGTATATTTTCCGCTTGTTGCAAAGGTTCACTGTTCGAGACCAGTGGCCACCCTAGTTGATAAGAATGTCATGTGCTTCACGTTTGATGATAAAGATTATGTTATATTATTCACAGAGAGGAGGCCACGTGTGCCTGCATCACAGGCAAAATTGACCACATTTCTTAAAAGACTCATGATTTACTTGCTAGAGAAAAACCACGTAACAATATCACCCCTACTGGTACATTCATGCCAATCTTCAGGCCGGTGCTGTGGGAAACTTGTGCCACAGAGGGGACAGCTACCACCGGGGAATCTATAGGCTACACTGCAGCAGGGATGGTTGAGATGAGATGGTGTTGGGATGATTGACATGAGATGCTGATGTAAGGAAATTTGATTTGCAGAAGCAAATTCTCAACTTCGTGACAACGATGATTCTGTCTGCCATCGCCACCCCTGGCTTTGGCTGCCATTCTCAGTCTTGTTGTTGCGCGGGTCCGTGTGTCTCCGCGTAGCTGTGCACCGCTCATCCAGCCAGCGCAGCTCGCGTAGCGGCCCAGGTGGGAGACAGCGAAGCAGCCACTCGGCTTCCTCACACACGGAGCCTGGTGCGGTGGGCCTGGCGCGCAGGCCCTCGGGAGAATCGGTGCAAAGCAGGCATCTCATGCAGCCTGACGGACGCCTGCGTCGCTCCACGTCTTCCGAGAGCCTGCAGAAGGACCAGGGGTAAGTTTGGAAGTGGTCGGTTTTTATCAGAACAACGTGGAATATCCAGCTGTCCGCATGTATGTGCATTGCATAAATGTAATTTTCTACAAATTTTCACATATTTGACCTTTTCATATATCCTCCCATAGCTGAGTCCCCAGCAAGCCAGATATGCAATGTTGTACTGTACCTAATCCAGAAATTACTTGATGCATATTTTTTTCGGTAATTGGTGTCGGCAACAAGATTGTCATGATTATCACCATGTTTGCCAATATTATTGCCTTGGTAATTATTGCTGCATGATATGGTGCAACATTTACCGTCCCGGAAAAATGTTTGTCCCCCAATTGTACCCGTCGGGTATAGGGGTCTTCATGTTTATTTCTGTGAAATTAACTATACATATACACAAATACATGTGTGATTCACGAGCAATGGTTTTAGTTTTAAAATGTATTCATTAATGTGAGACTTATTTTTACTCGCCCTATAAGTTTCTGCTGTATGTAGAAAAAAATGTATACTAATGAATTGTGACTGTAACCTTGAATTGCAAGGGGTGGCACCCGGGGGTTGGGAGATTGGGATGATGGGGATGGTGGGGTTCGTTGCTCAGTGACGGGTACTGTCTTTTAGTAATAATGGTCATTTATTTGATTGGGAACGTGTAAAATCTATCGTACTTATGTACTTTGAACTTTTTTCTGCATTGTACTTAGCCAACCGTGCAAATCGGAGGTGCGGGGAATTGGAGGTGCGGGAAATTGAATTTAACTGTTGATAATTGTATTCACAGTATAATGTCATTCAACATATGTTTCACAAAAGTAGACATTAAAATAAAAACAACGCATTTCAATCTGGCCAAAATGAAACAAGAATAATCTTACGAATGGTAAAATGTTAGTTGGGAATTTTTTTTTATTATAAAATTGGCACAAGAATGTCATCATCCCATTTAAGATTGCGCTCGAGAGGACCACTATGCACTTATTATATTACAAAGACATTTGGCAAACATCCAGTGACCAGTAAAAGCTTAACCCTAAGTTGTACATGTGTAGTGAGCGACTTCTGAGACACGACGTGTAGAGGGGTCCTTATTTATTTCTCACACTTACAGGCACAATCACTGAGCGACATATCTATATACGGGGCTACGCATATCTGACCCATCCACACAGCCCCATCGTTGGCATCTAACTATATAGCTGGCTGACTAATATAGCGACGACGATGATGGGAGCCATATAGCCGATCGGCCATGCGGCCAGACGATGGAGAAGAGATGACGGCGAAGACAGCGACGGCAGCAGGATCTGGACCCCACGACAGCCCCGAACCTTCGGTCACATCCCCCCTATATAATCCTCATCGTGGCCAGTCCCCGCCTCCGGCCACGCCCCCTTCTAGAACCTTCAAGCAGGTTTCCGGAGCTTCCCGACTGACCCCGCCTTTAACCTTTAGCCCAGTTACGCCCCCCTTACAGTTGGTTATTATATAACGCACTCATACCCATGATTATCCCTCCTGGTCAACAGATGGCACCCTGTCATTACACATGTGTGCAGAACATTTCATTGTTGGATGAGGGCCTCCCCACGCCATGCAAATCATGAGTGCTTATTTTACCATATTTAGAGATGTGACAAAAGCAGGCACATATCTGGGTGATTGTCCAAGGCAAATACAAGGTTGTCCCTTCGTTAAATCGGTGTTGAGTTGCGTCTGTGATTTTATTTTACTTCGCACATTTAAAACACCGCACAAGTAGCTGCTATTTGGTATGCCTGCAAATTAACTTTTTCTCGCGGGTAAAGCAACTCTGCAACAGTCAGTAACAAATACTGTGTTATATTTTGTATGCCCTCTGCTTTAATTGCCAATTGGCGCACTGCCTCTCTCTTTTGTTTCGCTCCGTCTTGTTTCACAGAGGGGGTCGGCTTTGCTGTAAACCAGCTTGTGCGTGCGAGACATGTTCATTAACACATGGTGGAGCATACATTAACAATGTGCTTCTACAAACTGGAATAATTTCCACGTGTACTATATTCGACAGTGCATTGTATCACACACCCAGCTTGAAATTGTATTAGACGTGTATATATATGTCTAACAAATGAAAATCATTAGGAATTTACTTTATATATAATAAGAATAATAATGTACAGCCCTTTGTCATTTTATTGCTAGATGAAGGCCTCCCAGTGCTCCATCAGACATTGGGGGTGTTTTGACCACGCTTTACCACACTGGGCCATTCAGTGGGGGCCCATTAGCGGTTCAGATATTGTGTACGTATGTTGAACTTCATTTGCACCATAGGTAGCCGTCCGTGCTAATCGGAGGTGCGGGGGAAGGACAAGAAACTAAACACAAAAAGCAGTTCTCAACAAATGAGTTTTCAATCGACAAATTGTGATCATATCTTCTTTTCTTCAGCCCTTTGACTCTTGTCTATTGCGTATGCTGCACAAGACCTCTGGAGTTGCTGCGTTCAATACACTTCTAATTATGTTTTCAGTCCTATTGAACTTGCTTCTCCAGCCTCAGGAAGATCGATTAAATATTGTTACTGTTGCTGTGAAGTAATTACAGTAATTAGCTGCCAGTTACGGATAATTACGACAAAGGCCATCAAGTACAGTGGCAAGTAAGCGATAGTCAGTGTATGTCGGGTGTTGGTATGCTTGTCGGTGTGGGTAATATGGGTTGGGTTTGGGCTTTGGAAAGAAAGTTCGTGTGCAATAGGGCTTGAGAAGGCCTAGGTTCACGTGGCTAGGAAAGGTTGGGGCTCTAAGAAGTGAGCGATTCACGGAGCGTGAACTAATGCACAGTGATGCAAGGTGGGTAACTTGGCAATGTGTGGGCACCCACAAATCTCAGTCAAAAGCTCCTTCAACACAGCACATTGTACAGCCGTTGTGGATTACTAGTTTTAGTGAAGTGTGTGGACAATCATTCTTGACTGAACATCAAATGCTGCGATTCTTAAGTAACTTAATGAAACCTAAAAACTACCTAATGCCTTCGTCCAATTCACGTGTTCATTCAAATGGAGTTGCTAATTTTGCAAGATTTTCCTCTACCTCATCTATAAACTTGGTGATTAGTGAGTTAGTTTTGAGCATTTTCTCGTTTAGTTTTATGTCATTTATGATTAGCTGAAATCCATAAATAATATTTTTAAAATAATATTTTTCCGCGTGTCCAGAGAATAACTCCTCTAATGTTTCCTTGCAAGATGTACTAATATATTTTAAGTGTGCATTTTTCTTTCTTTGCATACTAAAATATACGTATTTTTTGTGTTGGAAAACAATATATTGCATTAACACTCAAGAAACATACCGTGTCCTCCAAGCTGAAATTTAAACGGATTTGAAATTAAGGTTCGGCCTTGCCTTTGTGAAGTATGCAGGAAATATGAAATGATCACTTAGCAAATTCTGTTCAGCAGGGGTTGTTTCTCATTGTTATAAAGGAGATCTTCCCAATGTCGAATGGTAACTCCCTTCAATGTTAAACCTATTGATAGATATGGTGAGCGATTTTTAAAGACGGAAATGTTCTATATGCATAGAAATACAATTATTTAAAGCTCATTTGTTTTCTTGATGCACACAGTTGCAGATGTCCGCTTGCTATGTGCGCTTTTACATATGTCTGCACAAAGAAAAATATATCCGCTCCCATTTTATATAGCTCGTGCGTGTGAATAGAAGTGTGTTTATATGACAATTACAGTGCACACAATCTTTGTTGGCCATGATTGCTCAGTCAGTATATCAAGAACCACGCGAAAAATCGCGGTCAGTGGTGAGACGGCCCATCATTTCTCAAATGTGGTTAAAGCATGCACCGCCTGGTTAGCTTGCACCACTTTATAGAAAGTCAGTGGCAGTTTAGAACTGCTTTTTATGTTTGTTGTCCATTCACCACACTTCCGATTAGCACAGTTGACTATGTACGGTGCGAAAGAAGTTCAAAATACATACGAGTGCGTGTATATACAGGATGGCTCAAAAATAAGGACCACAGGGTTATTTAATTTATTTCAACAAATGTTTCAAATTGCTTCCATTTAATACTAATGCATGCATGAATTATCTTGATTGAATGTAGGATTTTTTTTAGATTACAACCTCCTTAAGCGTACATAAAAACGAATTAAACTCATTTGTCTTTTCGTCAATTTTCTTTCCATTTTTTTTATAATGGAAGATAAAAATATATGTTAATGGAAACTAGACTAGATATTAATAATGATAACAGATTAAATATTAACTTGAAGAATAAACATTCAAAATGTTTTAATTCCGGTGTTAAAATAAATGAAATAACCCTATTACACCCTGACATTTGAAACACCCTGTGTGTATATATATATGGCCCATGCCAGGATACTCTACTGTCATTTAATGTTGGACCAGGTTAGTACTGATCTTAACATTAATATGCACTGAAATTATAATGTACAGTGAGGGAAAAAAGTATTTCATCCCCTGCTGATTTTGTACGTTTGCCCACTGACAAAGAAATGATCAGTCTATAATTTTAATGGTAGGTTTATTTCAAGAGTGAGAGACAGAATAACAACAACAAAATCCAGAAAAACGCATGTCAAAAATGTAATAAATTGATTGACATTTTAATGAGGGAATTAAGTATTTGACCCCTCTGCAAAACATGACTTAGTACTTGGTGGCAAAACCCTTGTTGGCAATCACAGAGGTCAGACGTTTCTTGTAGTTGGCCACCAGATTTGCACACATCTCAGGAGGGATTTTGTCCCACTCCTCTTTGCAGATCTTCTCCAAGTCATTAAGGTTTCGAGGCTGACGTTTGGCAACTCGAACCCTCAGCTCCCTCCACAGATTTTCTATGGGATTAAGGTCTAGAGACTGGCTAGGCCACTCCAGGACCTTAATGTGCTTCTTCTTGAGCCACTCCTTTGTTGCCTTGGCCATGTGTTTTGGTCATTGTCATGCTGGAATACCCATCCACGACCCATT